ACTGTCAGCAGTATGTATACTTTGTCTGGAGAATATGGTTCTGAAGTGTTACTTCTATACCTACTCATGCATATGTTGTATAACGTAAGCCATGTTCATAATTACAGAAATATTGAAATGTTTGTGATATTTTCAAATTTTGAATTTGTAAGTATACTTTTAAAAGTCTTTTGCTTCCTTTAAGAAATAGAGTGACAAGAGAAGGATTTCTAAAATGTTCTGATACATATTCTAAATGGGACTTGGTAGTTGTTTGTGGGTTTACAACCCTTTGATGGTAGAGGAATGAAAACAAAGGTGAAGTTACAAAAATGTTGCATTAAAAGATTTCTATCTTTTATAAATAAACACCGTTAATTGAGTATAAACAAGTCTTATGACAAAAAAATTCAAATAAGTGCAATAGGCAGCATTAAAATCAATTCAATGGAATTTCAAAATGCATGAAAAATTGTCAGTCATGTTATGTATGTATGTTAGTGTTTAGAAGCTTGGAGCAGGTGTACTTGTAGTTATGTTATGACAGACAAACGGTGTTCACACCTATAATTGAGATATGGTTGTAATTTTGTTCCTTCATAATTAACATCCCTAATTGACTTGAGGAAATTGGTAGTTCACAAATTACAGTATGGTTCCTGCAGTATGAAGGTAATTACACTGTACATCAGAAGTCTACACAACAGAGATCAATAATATAGTATTTAGATAGCTGCTAGTCATTACAAATCTCCTGCCCTGTCTACAATGTATGTGGTATACTGCTGTTAGGAGTAGCTGCATAAATTTCAGTCCTTCATATTTTGCTCTAGTTGTTGTGTCATCTGCCTGTCAAAGTCGACATATAGGTATTACTGTGTCTGCTTCCTTACCAAAAGTGCTTGCTTTGGGCTGCTTTTCATGTCCAAAGGTCAAAGGTCAAGGTTACTTGTTTTTATAAATAAAAAAATCAGATTGTTGAATGTATTTATTAGTATTTTTTTTCTTAATAGTCTTTCTTGATTCTTGCCAGTAAGGTGTCAGTCTAGGGATGTGTGTCTCAGGGTGGATTGGTGGATGGGGTTGGGAGTAAGCTTGCTAATAGTTTGGTGCAAAGTTTGCATTTGGTTTCAATTTGTACTATAATAAATCTTACCTAAATATGATCCATGTTGTGCATTTATTTTTGTTTTGTTTTTTATAAATATCCCCTTGAAGAAATAAAAATAAAATTTTCAAAAATGTTTTTTTTTAAACATTATATGTAGTTTTAATACAGTGTTTGGTCAATTTGGAAATATCTATAGGCATATTAATTTTAGCCATATAAGTAGAACTTATGCTAACTCTTTACTGTATGTCCCAGAATCCTCTGGATTTAGTTCCCTTTGACCCGTTACCTCTAATCTGTTTATTCATCACATCGCATACAAATGGATAAATTATTAAATGGAATAAATACAATAAATATCTATGGCTGTCGTTTCATAAATCTCATCTTCAGAAACCTTGCTGGGCAGGCAACACACCCACTTTGTTGAATTCTTGTATTGAATTTGAATTGGCTATTGGCTCTGCTTGCTTGTCGGTATTTCTTCATAAGATATTTTATTAAATGGAAATAGATTTAAGATACTTTTCATCACATTAGTCAGGAAGGTTACATCTTGACAAGCTTTAGTTAAAAATGTGGAAGAGAAAATGTAATGGAGGTGGTAATTTATTGTGACCTTTTCAATTGGTAACTTAATGTTATTGACCATATCATGACATCTCAATCAAATTTTGATTGGCACAGCCAATGAAAAATGTGCAAGGGTATATTAATTACATTAATGTCATATGTTAGAAAATATCACATGGGTGAATTCACTGAATGACAGACAGATTATGTGATAGAAGTATTACTCTGTAGATGTCCTGCTATATATATTACATGTGTTCCATCAAAATATCATGACCTTGACCTCTCCCCCACACTTTGATAGGAATACAGAACCTGTTTACTAGCCTTACTACATGTATATGATAAACCATGTAATGACCCCTCCCCATATGTGTCTAGCATGTAATGACCCCTCCCCACATGTGTCCAGCGTGAAATGACCACTCCCCACATGTGTCCAGTGTGTAATAACCCCTCCCCATATTTGTCCAGTGTGTAGTAACCCCTCCCCACAAGTGTCCAGCTTGTAATGACCCCTCCCCACATGTGTCCAGTGGCTACATTTATCAGGAGGAAAGCTGCTGTATACAAACAAACATGCAGGTGTGGACAGGCAGTAGAGAAAACTGCCACATACCAACAGACAACTTGTAATTATTTTATCACCACATTGCAGTGAAGACTAACTGTGTTGGGCACAGGGTGTGTTACCAATTTGTGCCCTATCAAATACAAATTGATCATAAAATGGCACATTATACATGTGCAGGAGAGAGGGTCACAACTATTCTACCCACCCCCTCCTTTCAAAAGTGGACTGGACTTGTTCCTTTAAGTATATTGTTAAGTCATTCAATAAACTAGGGGTTACAGCATGGGGAGGTATAACTGCTTTAATTACACATGTGTACAGTGTGTTTTTTCGACGTCTGATAGTTAGTGTTTCTTTTCATTAATTAATCTGATTTTAAACAATTATATTTATTGTGTGACTTAGGCTCAGAGTAATTAATTGAAAAATCCAGTAGATGCTGGGCCACAAGTAATTAACTGAAATTTAATGCAATAGACTCAGTTTGTGTTGTATTGTTTAATTAGTATTGTTCTGAGGTGATGAAAGATTTGTTTTGTTGATTAAGTTTACGTTACGTAACATGTAGACAATATAATCAACAACAGCCATACCCTGGAGAGCTAAATATAGACCAACTTCAATGCTATTCGTCTTTCGTGATTTGAGCTTGATCATCCAGGAAGTTTATATGTGGTAATTCCCAATTAATAATACCAAAGGGACGTCTTGACTTAATTATGGCTGTATTTTGTACACGTTTTTGTAACTGGATATAACAAGCACAGTACATGCAATAAATCACAAGTGTACATATCACATATATATTGAAATTATATAAGGAGGTCAAGAGACAGAGCCAAGCCGCTGTGTAAAATTCTTTGATTGTCAATGTCTAATTTCATAACACGCTCTACACCCAGTCCTTTGAGATATACATGTATAGAGAGATCATAATTTACCCTGAGAAGTGTGATTTAATGCACGATTGAAAAGAGCCTGTTTGTGCTGACATCATTTTGGATGAATGAATGTCTAATATTCTGTATACAGCCACGCACTTGTTTCTACTCCACAAATAACCATACCTTTGATATATCTGCGTACCTTTATATTAAAATGTACCAAGTTTTCAAAGGTCCCACAAAAGATATTATGTAATTAGTATGTTTGGTGGGTGCAGTGAGATGAGATTCTTTTCTCAGATAAATTTAGATTGGTAGAACGGGAAGATTGTACATGAAAAACACCAACCCAGATCACCCTGTTTGTTTATTGTTTACACTGCAGATCAAAATGTGTTTACTGTGCTTAACTTTGATCTATAAATGGCTGCCGAGAATTATAATCCTGATATTTTACACATGTCGGTTTTTTTTTTTTTTTATTGTGAAGTTATATTTAGTAAATGTACATAATACTGGTACTTTGTTTTTATGTTATATTAATATTTGGATTTACATTTTTATTCTGGAAGACTTGACAAAATACATGTGAATAGCCTCTGTTAGGACACATGTACAGTTGGATACAGTAGAGACAAATAATGAATTAAACTGCAGCATGCAGCTGCTTTGACCTGTTAGGAAAAGTCTGTGGTGCTAAGGGCCTAAACTTTGAAGCCATGGAGCTCGAGGTGGCTGAGGAAAATCCAAAGTGATCAGAAGAAATATAAAAATCTAGACAGGGAGGATGCTAGTCCCATAATTCAATGAATTAGATGGAATTAGAATGTGGCAGGCCAGTTACCACAAACATGGGGGACTAAAAGTCCAACAACAGTGTCTACTACCTCCAATCTGGAAGATTGTATGGAAGACACACAAGTAACTAGCACCTTTTAATATACCGGGCAAATCTAGAATTAGAAACAGTAGAGCCAAGTTAAGAAGTTAACAATTGCAGGGCTCTCACATCCCATTTTGGGACTGGGGCCCGGGGTCCTTAGAATTGGGAAAAATAGCTGTGTTTTCCTTAGAATTGGGAAAACTTGGGGTCTAAATTCGGAAAAAAAGATACTATTTTGCATCGGGAATGGGGCAGAATATCGACCCCAAATCTGGCAGATCGAGAGCCCTGAATTGTCATGAATTATACACAAAGATATTCAGGAAAGGTATGCCATGACAGAAAACGTCAACATAAAGTTTGACTTTCCAGGAAACGACTGCTGCCATAAATTACATTTGACATTGATTATTAAAGGTCACACATTGTATATATGTGTGTTAGTCCATATATATTCATAAGGCTGTATATTTCAAGACACTTTTTGATCAGACATTTCCATATAAAGAGCTCTAAAATGGACATAAAGGATTATGATGATTCTGATAGGCATCTGACCCTGGGGTTAAGGTCATTGTTGCTAAATATGGTCTGTTGAGTCCTAGAGTCCTATATTTACAGTATATACATATATATCAAACAAGTAGTGATGATAAATACAACACTGATGGTGAAAAGCACTCATTTGGAGGACAATTTTGGCTCTTGGGTTATATTTATTGTCTCATGAAAAGTCAGGATCATTTTAAGGCGGGGGTGTCCTAGTTAAGGCTGTAGATCTCAGCTTCTGTCCTGAGAAACTTGGACAAGGTAGGGATTAATCCACATTAGCAAAATTATCTCAATTCAATATTTCTGATATCAAATTCTGAAGAAATGTCTGTTGTCAATGTTTTCCCCTTCACTAGTTTCAGAGAGCTTTTCAGAACAATTCTGAATCTGAAAAGGGTAAGATTTTTTTAGTTAGTCTCATGGTAGAACATTTTGTCTTTACAGATTGGTTCAAGGCGGTTCAGGGTCTGATGTCATGTGCTGTAGCCAGTTCAATGTTGTCTCTACTGATTGGCCTCTTTTCACTTTGCTGGACATGTAAAGGCTGCAACCCACACCAGGCAACTGGCGCCTTTGCTAATCTCACCTGTAAGTATCTCACAAGCCATGGGTCCTTGCTAATCTCACCTGTAAGTATCTCACAAGGTCACTGGTACCTTTCCTGATCTCACCTGTAAGTATCTCCAGGGTCACTGGTGCCTTTGCTCATCTAACCTTTAGGTGTTTCACAAGGCCAAGGGCCTTCGTTGATCTCACCTGTAAGTATATCACAAGGTCACTAATGCCTTCATTGATCTCACCTGTACATATCTCACAAGGTCACTTGCACCTTTCCTGATCTCACCTGTAGGTATCTCACAAGGACACTGGTACCTTTCCTGATCTCACCTGTAAGTATCTCACAAGGCCACTGGTAGCTTTCCTGATCTCACCTGTAGGTATCTCACAAGGCCACTGGTACCTTTCCTGATCTCACCTGTAGGTATATCACAAGACCACTGGTACCTTTCCTGATCTCACCTGTAAGTATCTCCAGGGTCACTGGCGCCTTTGCTGACCTAACCTTTACATGTTTCACAAGGCCAGAGGCCTTCGTTAATCTCACCTGTAAGTATCTCACAAGATTTGCACAAAATGTACAATCATTGTCATGATTGTCTTGATTATCAGTACGAAGAAATATGAACACTTTGAATTGTTATATTCAAATATCGGTCATTATAATGTAGATAGATAGATAGATAACAAGTGAAGGGAGGCAACTCTTATACATTGATTTTTAATTTGCTTTATTTTATCTGCAGTCCTGTTGCTTGCTGTTGCTGTGTGTGTGTTCGGAACCAAAGCTTACCTAGACAAACAAGCTATTGTGATGCCGTCCCAGACCAGTAGCAACGAAATGCTGTTATTTGGTTGGAGTTTCTGGGTGGCTGTTGGAGCCACAGGAATGGCGCTAATTTCTAGCATATTGTACTTCTGTGTCGGTCGTAGTGACGATACATATTAACTTCTTTAAATGATAATCATAACACTGGACAGGTGTTTGCCTGCTTTTCCTTGTCAATCACTTTCCTTGACTTTGCCAAATATGATTACTGTTTGTTAAGGTAATTTCCCCGTTTTTTTTGGTTAAATTTGACAGACCAGTACATGTTTAAGTGGTAACATTGTTAAGAAAATGACTGTCTCTATTATTTTCTTTTTCATTTTCTTGTCACCTTGACACAAATGACACTGTCTTGAGTTATATTAGATTTTGCACTATGGTTGCTAATAGTACAGAAACACCATTATGTAATAGTGTTGTGGAAATGCAGATACAAAAAAAAATTACACAAAGACATGTTCATTTATTGATATTGTTTTGCTTTTCATTTTGGATTTTTGGTTTTTGATTTTATTCATGTTTGATATCTTTCAACTTTGCTTGGTATAAATTCTGACTTATTTGCTCATTTTATTCTGCTGTTGAATAATATTTTTGTAATTTAAGTAATATCCTGTCGCTACAAAATATTAGTTATTGGGGAGAAAAATGAAAAATGAAATGTAACTTTATTTTTGCAAAGAAAGAAATGTTTTACCTTGGATGCCTGTCCGTATTGGCTGTGTCTTATACAAAATGCTGCAGGTCACATTTGTACATAGAATATCTATGCTTTATAATCACTATTTTAGATGTTTCAATTTTTGAGACATTTTTATCTTGTATTTTTCATTACAAATATAGTTCCTTTCTGAACGTTGACCTTTCCATTTTGATATATAAAATCTAAACTATACCTCTCGTTCACAGAAAAAAAGTCTTATTTTCTTCAAGATTGCATCTTGATTATGAAATTGTTATAATAGTATTTTTTTTATCCAAGTTGTGATTTAGAAAGGTTGTTCGAGAAACTGAGTATCAAACTGATTTCTGAATTTGCAGAAGTACTTAAAGTGTCTTCCTCGGTCTTTACAAGGCAGCATCAGAGTTATTTCCCTTTAATAAGAAAAAGCTATCTTTTCATATAGGGAGGTTGTTGATCAGTACGAAACAAACATTTTATATCCATTGTACATATTTTGTATATATTTATAAAAAATTGATGATGTCTTTATAGTCATAGTGAAAGTTTATATTTGCATATTTACAATTTATAGCTGCTTGAACAATGAAAATCAACCAAGCCATAGATAAGATATTATCTTCAGTAAAAAGGATTGATTTTATATGTGAAGAAATGATATTGAAAAAGTGATCAGATCATTAGTATGCAAATATCTTATTGGCCTTTTTTCAGCATTAGAAATTCATCACTGATTCAAGTTGTGTCAAACTTTAAAAGATTTATAAAAACATGTTGTATGTAATATCAAATTGGCAGTTAACTAATCAGGAATGTTTATAACGAGTGTTTCTGTATTTTTTTTTCGACATGATTATTTTCATACAGGAACATGTGTATTTTTTTCAGTCTTGGAGATATGGAAAGATCAGCATGTTAAATGCTGTGATAATGTGCCATTAAAATTTCAGAGGTTGATTCTTTGGTGTTCAGTTTAACAATATCCATATTGTAATTTGCAAAAATTAACACATTCATAATCTGTGAAAAAAAATGATTGAGACAGCTATATTTGAAAAAAACCCCCATTATTTATAGTATTTTGCATAGAAGGTGCTGGCTTGGTTGATTCGATGGGCCATTTGTGTATATATATATATGTTAATCTAGTCATTCATTCCTCATGTGATTTGACTGCGGAGGTATTAAGGCCTAAATTTGCTGTGGTGTCACCACACTGACTGTATGCTAACCATAAATATACACCACTGCCCTCACAACAGGTCCAGACTGAAAAAATCTGATTTCTGATTGGTCACATGTGATAAGTCATGATAAAACTTTTCTTGGCAGGAATTATTCTGCATCTCCTACAAACTATATCTTAGTGCCCTCTAGTACCATCGAAACAAGGATCTGTTTTCAGTTTGTGTTTATTGAATAAAGAGGCAATTTAGAACATTGAAAGTGAGCCCTGAGTTTGTATATGTCATACACATCCAACCTTAAGATTTCCTGTTTTGGATGGAGATACACATGGTCACTGCATATGAATTCCAAAGTTAAAAGATGAAAAATGTTTAAATCCTGCTTGATGTGCAAAGGTGATAAAAATCCTGCTCACTTGTCAGTATTTAACACAAGAGGTGTAAAAATTTCTACTGTACTTTGTTGCAGGCAGTGGTGTAAATATGGATCAAAGTAATTGTTCAGTGTTGGAAGCCACACACTACGTATATGTCTCATTTCATGTTTTTCACACTAATCTAGTTGCAGTATCATTTTATGAAGAGTTATCTCCCTTCTTGAATCTGTTTGAAATTATGGTTTGCAGCTAGGTTATCATTATGAATACAATAGAACAATGCTTCGAATACAGGATGATAGGTTAGAAATTAGAAATAATGATCATTTGTATATAATTGATCACTTCATACAACTTCTTGAAATGTTGCTCAGGATTCACAAAGTTAAACACAGTCCAGATATCTACATTGAAATAAAAATATGTCCTCATTTCAGGAAAAATGTGAGTACTGAAAGGTGGCATAAACTATGCATTATGTAGTTAATTTTTTTCCAAGGACAGATAACTCTTCCAGGAAATGCTATTCAACTGTCAGAGTAAAAACGTTCTAAAGGAATTTATGTATTTATTTAAAAGTTTTCTACTTTCATTTTAATGAATGTTTGGATTTCTAGTTACTATTATAAGTTAATTAGAAAGTCTTAATAACTTTAAGAAAATGTTGTGATTCATCATCAAATCTCATTTTTTTTTTCGAAATTAAAAATTATACTTAATTTATGATAAATGTTTACCATATGTAAAAGTAACAACCTGTAGCTATTCCAGTAAAATATCTAACCAATATGGGGATCAAAAAATGTATGCATGATGGAGTATTGAAAATTTGCAGTGAACTATATTGTTTTGTTTGAAGTAATTTTTTTTTTGTGAAATCTATTCAACAGACCTGGAATTCACTGTTTTGGTAAATATTTTACTGAAGTAGCCCTTTTTTCATACAACATGCATGGTGTTGACAAGAGATGTAGTCTATTTATGCTTTTACTTCATATTAGAAAAATGTATTTTTCATATTTGCAATTTTTTTTCAAATTTCAATTAATGTTTTATGATTTCTACCAAGAACTTTATTAGAATATAAGACTTTTATGGTAGTTTGTGAATATTGGTATTAGATTTGGTCCATTGTAGACACATATTAATTTTCTTTGATCTTTTTATATTATTTGTTTACAAAATTAAATATTGTGTAAGAAATTATTAAAATGAGGTTGTTCACTAATTAAGGTTGTTCCTATCTTAAAGAAATTATTTCTGAATATTCAGTTTTGTCAATGGATCCTTCCAAAAATTAACGTAATTTATAAATAATTTTCATTTATTGTTTAATAATGTAAGTTTTTTTTTTCAAATTGAATGTAACAATTTGTTAGCTGTTTTTCTTAAGTGTTCATTTCTGTGCCATATTCACCCAGATGCAGTTTTTAGGAATCTTTTCAAAAACTAATTCCATGGGTGTGCAGATGTTTCTTACCGAATTCATACCTAATTGGTTTTTATACCAGCAGGTATAAGGATTGCAGATTTTCTTACCGAATTCATACTTGACCGGCCCCTGTATCTGATATAGGGATCAGTCCGTCATTCATACGTTAGGGTAGATCTTGACTATGATAACGGATACCATGTTTTTTTTTATATTTGTATGAGTTTGTCATTGTTCTTCTTTCTCATTAGTTTATTGTGTGTTGAGACCACAGAGATTGTGCTGAATTTTGCTTCATTTGTCATATTGATGAGTTTCTTAAATGTGGTGATTACATTGATGATGTTATATTTGTATGTGAGTCTTGTATTTCCACATATTTATAACAAACTAACAGTGTTAAATCAATAATCAAAATTAACTTTATCAGACTAAGTATAATTAATATTTCTGATATCATGCATTTTGTGTGAAAAAAATATTTTTTCAGTCATTTTATTTATTTATGTGTCTTGATGTTGTAGTCAATTTATTTTTGAAACATTTTGAAATCTATAATGACAAAGAAACCACACAGCATTACATGTTTTAAAAACTGAAGCCAGTAACAAGAGTTTCATAGGATTTTCTTATTATTGTGTAATTCAATTGTAAACAGTTATCTTTCTGGAAAATGTTTGAAGGTCATAGAGTAAAGTCAAAATAATAGCTCAACAAATGAAAGAAGATTTAACATATTTCTAAAAATTTCGTTTTTGAATGAACATATTGAAATGATATTTAAATTAGATAACAGTGTGAAAATTATCTATCTAAAATGATGTGAAAATATTTTTTCAATCTTCAAGTGTATAAAAAGAATTCAGCTTAATATTGTTTCAAAACCATTGATAAAGTGAAGCTTGAGCTGAGTAAAAAACAGTTAAATATTAAATAATAAAAATAATTTTTGATTCAAATTATATTGGTATCTGTCACTTTGCTCAGTTTCTAAAACAAATATTTAAATATACTTAACTTTGTGGTTGTTTATGTGCAATATATAGTATGATATTAGCTTGATAACATGTGAATTTTTTTCATAATGTAAATTTTGATGCAACAGTTTTTTTTGTAAAACATTTCAAGAGGTTGGTTAACGATTTTATATTCTACATCAATTACGCTCAGTTCAAGGAAAAATCTGTTGAAAATTCTTTTGTACCTTATTGAATTGGAGGAAACCTTTAAAACTGCTATATTAAATGGTGTCACGAATAAAGGATTATATGAATATATTATAAAAAGATTTAAAAAAAAAAATGGATGAAAATTCTTAAGATTTTAGAAATTGGTTGCCATTCCTGAGAAGAAAGACAAAGAAGATGGAGAGACACTTTCAATAATGTTACAGAAAGTCATTAGCTACAATGCATTTAACCTTCTTTACACTATAGCATCTATTCCACAGCCTGATTTTGTAGATAAATGATCTCGTGATAGGGACACTGCAGATGTATTTTGTATGATAGCTGTGTTCACTGTATTAAAGGAATCACATGCAGTCATTAATGATCATATCAGAGATGTGGTTATCAGAATTACATAATAATATATAAGTAAACAGATGTAATCATTTATTATCACTTCATACTCATATTTTATCTCCATCCTGGTAGCTAGCAATAGAAGATTACAAAGTTTGTGTCAAAAATGTGTATGTACTTCAAATATTATCAGATTATTCTCTTTTTATTAAAGCTATCTCTGAAAAGATAATGTTTTTAAAAATTGTAGTTGAAAGAGAAAGAAATAATTGATTTTCTCTGATTTATACATTTGTTTTGATAAACACCGAAAATAAGTAAAAGATAGAGAAAAATAATATTTTTAATAACATCAATTTCAAAACGATTCTTAAACCCGTTCAAGAAAAGTCAGATCGTTTTTGGTTTAATATGCTATCATTTTTCAATACCTATTTAATCATATGTTTGATATTTTAACTGGGGTACTTATCAATTGTGCTTAAATCTAGAAACTGGTGCAATTTATTTATATACTAACACATAGAATTGGATTATTTTCACACATATATAGCTTGTATGTAATCTAGGGAGTATTTGCAGCTGTATTCTATTTAAACAATAAAACAATAATACTGGAGCTGTTTAGAGAATATATTCTTGATAGGTTCAAATTTTGTGTCATTGCTTTATTCTCAGTTAAAAGTGTTTGATAACATCATTAATATTTTTATCAAAATTACTGGTATCTTTTTGGAGTTTTTTTTCAAGCAACGATGACAAGTTTCGTCCATAAAATCCACAAAAGGCAACTGTGGTTGAACATTTGAAGTTTTTCAAGTGAACTTAATGGCCGATATTTTTATATTGATTTTGAATAATTTCATGTATTAGAGGTTAATAGTGTGTATAAATATACTGATATAAACTTACATATTAATATGGAATGTATAGTTTTGTAGACTTTGTAATAAAGGTTTCTTGGTAGAATATTATGTTACAATTTTTTCTGTTGAATTGTCTGCCTTTTAACGGCTTCTTTAACTACTACATTAATTAACACTATGGCAGTATACTGTAATACTCGCTCCACATTGAAGTATTACACCGACATGTAAATTCAGACTGTTAGACAGGATAAGACAATTTTAGGCCCCGAAGCTGTCATCTAAAACAAGTGTAATCAAGCACACGCTGCCACAGGCGATTCCAACCCTCTGAGGGGGATGCAGGTCGCCCCCTCACGTCGCTAGTACACTGACGTTCGTCGATGAGACGATGCCCAGGAAGAGTCGCGGTGACGTCAAACCTGTAACCAACCAAACCAAGTAAACTCAACAGGTACTTTAAGTACATGACTGAAAACGAAGCTGGTGGAGTCAGATACAAGTTTGAAATATGATTATTGTAAGCAGTTGTGAAAATTAATTACATGTCGGAAAATGAAGGATTCATCCAGTGTATGTAAATAACTAGGTAGGGGAAAAACGAGGATTTAGTCGTTAGACCAAAGATAACAAAACTGGAAACAAGGCGACATTTAACATACGATAATGAAAAAATGGCAAACATGCAGACTGTATGGAAGACATGAGAGTATGGACAAATCGTTAGTTAGCTGATGTTTACATGTAAATTGAGTTTTGCGTTAAACTGGTAATTCACATCCTCAACTTTAAAATCAATATACTGTAGTATTTTAACTGGGGAACTTAAAATATATTCTCATACAGCACTGGTTGTGGTAAGTAACGGGATACATTGAAGGAAAACCAATCCCAACTGAAAAAACAAAGAACTTTCACAGCATATAGTGTTTACTTGTCGCGTTCGATATTCAAGGGCCTATTCCCAATATCATGATTTACATACATGGTGTCAGCTGAATAACTAAGGTTTCAAAAGAAGCTAGTTGATGAAAATTATGGGGAAGTTTTAAAGTCGCCATAAGTGAGCTCATTGGCAAATATTCTATTTTTTTGTGCGATATGAAGCTGGGCATGTTTGATGCTCGATAGTTTTCATGTTGGTTCCGTTGTCTTATAACTCGTTCTCGTTTGAGATAGTAGCATAACTTACGTGGATTGACCAAGATTTACATGGCAGGTGTCGTCGATGTACGTAAAACCTTCCCTATAATTTTCACCAAAATGCATCTTTTGAGACTCTGTGTTGCGACTTCTTGCACGAAATTTTTTATAATGGAAGAAGATCAATGAATATTGAATCAATTGCGACTTGTGAACACCATAGTTTGGTGATGCAGGGATGTTGCTATCAAGAAATGGAAAATAAATAACAATAGGGAAATTGAAATCGTCACGCTCATCATACAGCTGTATGGAAGGCTGTCCATTGTGGTTCTGTTGTTGGAAAAGAGTGAGATAAGCGGCTGATGTAGAAGAGACAAAATATGAAATATGAGCCGAATTTGACTTAGCTTTCCTAGAAACTTCAGCAAAGTTCTTCATATGTGAGTACATGGAGGGAATCCCAGGATCAAAAGGTGACTTATTACCGACTATGATGCCAGGTACGACGACCCCAGACGTACTTCGAACGACCAGATTATCAGTCCTGTGATAGCAGTTAGCAGATACGGTGAGTGCTGCAGTGAAAGATACGTATTTTATGTAGCTTGTGTAAATACAACGTGAATTGGACACAGAATAACACATAGTGTCAAAGCAAAGAAAAGGTAATAAAATATGTCTTCTCAAATAAAATAGAGAGAACCAAACGTAAATAAAAACAAAAGGAGGAGTGCCAATTTGGGCCTTCTGGCGGCCATGACCGATATTTTTTATTTCTTGTGTAGGAATTCCTTGGGGTTAGGCGGTCATGATATGACATAAAATTAAGGTCAGATCTGAGCCATTCATTAGTTATGGGGGGGTAAAGTGGGGGGTAAAATTCATAAACAGCTCCATTATGACAAACCTACATTATATTTTTGGATTTTTTCTTCTTAATTTTCATGTAATAATCCATATCAAAACATTCATTAGTAAAATTGATTGAAAAAAATATTCCATTGTTGAAAAGTAGGTCATGGTAATTAAGCTCATTAATTGCTAATTATATTAAAGATGAACTTAATTTTCTGCCTTAATGCACATAAAAACAATACCTTTATCATGTGTCATGCTTTAGTAAGATTTATTTTTGAATACTTTATAGAAAATGGAGAATTAATTAATGGGAGGGGGCGGGTTCACACTTTTGACAACTTTTGGTTGATATCAGAGTTGTCTTATGTAATTATATTAGATAATAA